ATGATCATCTCGCCGTCGCACGGCTGGAAGACTGCGTGCTTGATGTTGTTGTAGAGGATGTCCACCTTGTCCCCGCGCACCGAGGTGAAGCGGAACCCTACCGTGGAGGACAACAAGGTGGGTGAGGTCCACGGGACCTCCAGCCACCCGGCCCACCCCCCCGCCTCACCGTTGACGTGGGCCTCCAAGGAACCCTGCATCCTCTTCTGGGCGATGTTGGGCCTGATGTAGAGGTCCTTCAACTTGGGGTTGCTCCGGTTGAGGTTGATGACCAACGAATCTTGCTTGACGATGCCCTGGAGAAGACCCCGAGATGTTCCAGGAGGTCCCTCAACATCTCCAGAACTTCAGGAGACTCCGTAAAACGTCGCGGCGGGTGGTCACCTCCTTCTCCTTCTCCTCGGCTTCTCGGGTCTTGTAACGTTTCTGGACCTCCTTGATGATCCGGAAAGCGTTCTGGAGGTTGACGGACGCGCCGGGGGTCTTCATGTTGGACGCGCGGTAGGTGCGGGGTGGGACAGAAGATGGGAGGACCTCGAGGACCTCCCCCGCGGCCCCGCCCCCCACCAAGATGGCCGCCGCCGCGGCGGGTCCTCACATCTCCTTGACGAAGGTGGCCTCGGGGTTGGGGAAGATGTTGCCCTCGTTGCGGCCCAAGGCGCTGCCTGGGCAGTAGAAGTTGATGCGGAGGTAGGTGTAGTCGCCTTCCACCGACATGCTGATGTTCTGCGGGGGGAGGGGCAGGAGGCGGGGCTCAGGCGAGGTGGAACCCCATAACCACATCGGGGTGGAGGTGGAACCCCAAAAACCACGTTGGGTTGGAGGTGGAACCCAAAAACCACGTTGGGTTGGAGGTGGAACCTCAAAACTACATCAAGTTGGAGGTGGAACCCCATAACTACGTCAGGTTGGAGGGGGAACCCCATAACTACATTGAGTTGGAACCCCAAAAACCACATTCGGTCAAGTTGGAGGTGGAACCCAAAAACCACGTTGGGTTGGAGGTGGAACCTCAAAATTACGTTGAGTTGCAGAACTACGTCAGGTTGGAGAGAGAACCCCATAACTAGATTGAGTTCGAGGTGGAACCCCATAACTACGTTGAGTTGGAACCCCCAAAACCACGTTGGGTTGGAAATGGAACCCCAAAAACCACGTTGGGTTGGAGGTGGAACCTCAAAACTACATCAAGTTGGAGGTGGAACCCAAAAACCACGTTGGGTTGGAGGTGGAACCTCAAAACTACATCAAGTTGGAGGTGGAACCCAAAAACCACGTTGGGTTGGAGGTGGAACCTCAAAACTACATCAAGTTGGAGGTGGAACCCAAAAACCACGTTGGGTTGGAGGTGGAACCTCAAAACTACATCAAGTTGGAGGTGGAACCCAAAAACCACGTTGGGTTGGAGGTGGAACCTCAAAACTACATCAAGTTGGAGGTGGAACCCAAAAACCACGTTGGGTTGGAGGTGGAACCTCAAAACTACATCAAGTTGGAGGTGGAACCCAAAAACCACGTTGGGTTGGAGGTGGAACCTCAAAACTACATCAAGTTGGAGGTGGAACCCAAAAACCACGTTGGGTTGGAGGTGGAACCTCAAAACTACATCAAGTTGGAGGTGGAACCCAAAAACCACGTTGGGTTGGAGGTGGAACCTCAAAACTACATCAAGTTGGAGGTGGAACCCAAAAACCACGTTGGGTTGGAGGTGGAACCTCAAAACTACATCAAGTTGGAGGTGGAACCCAAAAACCACGTTGGGTTGGAGGTGGAACCTCAAAACTACATCAAGTTGGAGGTGGAACCCAAAAACCACGTTGGGTTGGAGGTGGAACCTCAAAACTACATCAAGTTGGAGGTGGAACCCAAAAACCACGTTGGGTTGGAGGTGGAACCTCAAAACTACATCAAGTTGGAGGTGGAACCCAAAAACCACGTTGGGTTGGAGGTGGAACCTCAAAACTACATCAAGTTGGAGGTGGAACCCAAAAACCACGTTGGGTTGGAGGTGGAACCTCAAAATTACGTTGAGTTGCAGAACTACGTCAGGTTGGAGAGAGAACCCCATAACTAGATTGAGTTGGAGATGGAACCCCATAACTACGTTGAGTTGGAACCCCCAAAACCACGCTGGGTTGGAGATGGAACCCCAAAAACCATGTTGGGTTGGAGATAGAACCTCAAAACTACGTCGAGTTGGAAGGGGAACCCCATAACTACGTTGAGTTGGAGGTGGAACCTCACAACTACGTTGAGTTAGAACCCCAAAAACCACGTTAATTTGGAGATGGAACCCCCAAAACCGCATTGGGTTGGAGGTGGAACCCAATAACCACGTTGGGCTGGAGGTGGAACCCCAAAACCACGTCAGGTTGGAGGGGGGGAGAAGGTGGAACCCCCAAACCCCCAAAACTCAATGCTGGAAGTCAAGGTGAACCCCCAAACCCAACCTTGATGGTCAAGGTGAACCCTGAGACGCCCAAAACTCAATGCTGGTGGTCAAGGTGAACCCCAAA